GTTCGAAGAAGAATCCGGCTTTTGCGAACTGTTTCCAACGCGTCAGTTGGACCACAAGATTTTTTTCTTGAAAGCGATGCATCTTACCGCGACGGGAGAAAGAGTCTTGTGTGGCCAGTTCAGAACTTTTGGTTTCTCTGGGCCAGAGTTTTCGATGGGATGGGGTATTTGGAAAGATGCGAGTCTGTTTTCGTAAACGAAAAAGATCTCGTCCGAGTCTGTCATTGCCATTGCCGCGGTTTATGAAGGGGAATTTCGGGAGCGCGCGTGATGTCGAATTTCGATCGAGGTTTGTTTGTTTGATACACGTCGATTTTCAGCGCGGCAGGGACATTATCTTGAGGTCCAGTATCTTGGTGATGCAGTGAAAAAAAGACGCGTCGGCGACAAGGAGAGTGGGTTTTGAATTTGTTCAATTGGCGCGACGGGAACTTTGGATGATGATTGCGAAATGCGAAATTGATTGCTGTGGAGGGGGAGCAGGGAAACAGCAACCATCAAAATAACGAGCCTTGTTCTGATTGGTCACTGATTCCATGTTTGTTTACTTTGCCGGTTCTGGATGTGGCGCTCAAACAGGCACGCTGTGGCTGCAGGAGGTGGAGCCCACGGTTCTGGTTGTGGCTGGTCCATGATTTCCACAAAATCTCAATTTTGGTGATTGCAGATTGGCGAGCGCCATCATCATGGAGACGGGTTAGGGTTCAACTCCCCGCCTTCAGGGCGATTTTAAAGTTTAGGAACTTTCACAAATTCATTTCATTTTCGGCTCTGTAACCGATTCAAAAATGTGAAAGCATTGTTTTTGCATCTTTTGGCAATTTCTCAGTGGACGAATGATGCCTGCATTTTTTTTTTCTTAAAGAGATTCTTGTGGTACGGGAATTCTCGGAGCCATTTTTTTTCTCTCCTCCCCAAACATATTAACACCATGCTCACTCCCATTTTGATACCCGATTCATTTTGCTCATATTTTCTGCAATCTCGCCCTCAATGCTGGGCAGAGACACGCATCATCTCTTCAAAATTCTCGCCATGAATCTAATAATTTGTTCGTTCTCTCCAGTCTCAAGAGATAAGCATGACAGCATAACCATGTGCACCCTGTCATCCACATCCATGTTGTCATCCACTCTCTTTATCTATCCATTGGGCTTGGGATCGGCATTCCTGTCTCTCCAATGGATTTAAATATTCTTTTCCCCGACTCCCCGCATTATATTTCCCAGAAATTCCAAGACGGCTCGTCATCAAGTCTCGAGAGGGTTTGTAACTTGTTGGTTGTCAACGGGCATCAATTGGTCCAATGGTGGGATATGCAGCTTGAGGTAGGTGGTAACAAGCTTCGACAAGCTTTGCCAATACGGCCGGGCGGTACCCTCCGTGCGTTGGATCGACCGAACCCACATGTCGTCACGATTCAGGTACTCCCAGGTACTACCAGGTGCCTACTCTTCAAAACATTCTTGGCCTCGAAACGTTCTTGCCCAGCCTCATTGGCATCGAATATCCCGGCAGCCAGCATCGAGTCTTTATTCTAGAAGATATGAATGGGGGAGATTGCGGCATGCAAAACGCACAAGCATCACACAGAAATGCAGGGACAGGAAGGATGCAGAAACGAGAAAGTCAAATCGACTTTTGACAGGTCCAAAGGAGAGGACCCCGAGGCCGTGGATGAACGACTGGGTCGACTGAACAAAATCCCGAGGGAGAAGGGTCCATCAGCAGAGAGATGAACGAAAAGAGAAACCTCGGTGTGGCAACGACAACGTCCTTGCCGACTTCCCAGTCAATTCCCATGGTGTACCCCTCCGTCCACCCGAGGGGTCCGCTTTCGTATGGCGGTGCCTGGGTGCTTGCAAGCTGCTGACTCGGACGTCATGTCAACAAACTAGACTCAATTAGCTACCAGTACGAACCAAGGTTTAATTTTACCGTTTCCCATGAGCTCTGTTTTCTTTTCCTCTTGTCCAAGCGTTCGGGAAGCTGGTTAATGGTGGCGGCCGCTATCAAACAATAGGAGCGAGCTGACAAGCCCGCCTCTTCCATCCACCAACCCCAGCCCGGACGTCTTTTTATTTATTTTCCCCCTTCATCTTTTCCCCAATCGTCTTATTCATCTTCGTCACCAGACACGAGCACCCTCACCACCACACACCCGACAGCAACCACCAAACCATGGCTGCTACTTCCTTCACCGAGAAGGGGGAGAATGAGCTGAAGCGGACCGGATCTGGTGTCTTGGGCACTTCCTCCGAGGACGAGGTTGGTCAGGTACACGAAAAAAATGATTTCGAGCGCCAAAAGGAGCTCGAGGGTCAGGCGGCCTTCAAACGGCTCGGCTGGAAGCGTCTCACCATCGTCCTCGTCGTTACCGCAGTGGCTCTGGGCAGTCTAAGTCTCCCAAGCGTCTTTGCCACCCTCGGAATGGTAGCAGGTGTTATTTTGACCATTTTCATCGGTTTCATAGCCATGTACACCAGCTATGTTATCGGTCAGATGAAGCTAAAGTACCCAGAAATACACCACTACGGAGACGCTGGCCGCATGATGTTTGGCGACTATGGCTACTTTGTCATCACGACTATGTTTGTCTTGCAACTCGTCTTTACCACCGGCTCTCACGTTCTCACCGGCGCAATCATGTTCAACAACATCACCGAACACGGCACTTGCACCGTCGTCTTTACGGTCGTCTCGGCTATTCTGCTCTTCCTTCTTGCCATCCCGCCTACCTTTTCCGAAATGGCTATTCTGGGATACATCGACTTTGGCTCGATCATGGCCGCCATTTTGATCACCATCATTGCGACTGGCATCACTTCTAGCAACCAGCCCGGCGGTCTTGCAGCCGTCGACTGGTCCGCTTGGCCCAAGGAAGACCTCAGCTTCTATGAGGCCTTTATCGCCGTCACCAACATCGTGTTTGCCTACAGCTTTGCCTTGTGCCAGTTCAGCTTCATGGATGAAATGCACACGCCTGCGGATTTCACAAAGTCTATTGTTGCCTTGGGTGTTTTTGAGATCATTCTCTATACCCTCACCGGCGCTCTTATTTACGCCTTTGTCGGTTCAGGCGTTGCTTCTCCCGCCCTCCTTTCCGCAGGACATACAGTTTCCAAGGTCGCCTTTGGTGTTGCCATCCCGGTCATCTTTATTTCTGGCAGCATCAACACGGTTGTAGTGGCTCGCTACATCCACGACAAGGTCCATGCGGGCTCCATTATCCGACTCGTAAATACACCGATGGGTTGGGTCCACTGGATCGGCCTTGATGCCGTCTTGACCGTTTTTGCCTGGGTCATTGCTGGCGCTGTTCCTTTCTTCTCGGATTTGCTGGCCATCGTCTCGGCTCTGTTCATTTCCGGGTTTTCTTTTTACTTCCCCGCCATCATGTGGTTCCAGTTCATCAAGGAAGGGCCTTGGAATACCAAAAAGAACTTGGCGTTGGGAGCTCTCAATATTCTTTGCTTCCTCATTGGCATTGTGATTCTTGGAGCCGGTACTTATGCCGCCATCGAGGATATTGTAAGTTTCGTTGATATTCTTGGATAATTAGATCAAGATGGCTAACAAGTGTGATAGAAAATCCGCTACAAGAATGGTACAGTTAACAAGCCATTCAGCTGCGCTGCGTAGTGAAGAATGATTTCATCAGCGACGTGTCTTGGTGTGTATATGGGTTTTGCTCATATGGTTATAGCGCGGAGTTTTTGTTGTTCACAACAGGTCATCGAGGCAGTTTGGCTAGAAATGAAGCTGGGGGATTTGATTATTAATGACGGGATTTGGGTTTGGAGAAGATAAAAGTGTTTTTTTTTATTGGTTTATCGTTTGTGTTGTCCTCATGGCACGAGACTAGCAGAAAGGAGGCGGTTTAGTTCAATCAATGGGTTTCTTTGATATCTGGGGAAGGTATAATTGGCAGAAAAGCTTTAGGAGTACATAATTGGCTGGATAGCATAGGGTAGTGGTACTGTAGTGTAGCCAAAGCATGGTCGTAATGAATATTTTGTCAAAGACCTTTTATCCCCTTTTTTTCCCTTTATCATGAGATTTCACACACCACACATGATGATTTTGCAGCTGTCAAATCCTTATCTACCAAGTGAACCAAAGTGAGTAAATTGCGTAGATAAGCGTCAAATCACAGCAAAGGTTAATAACGGAAAAGCAATGAAAACAAGGTATCATTAGTCACCAAGTGAGCCATATTGAGGGAGTAAGTTCTATCTCTGTGGAACCTCAAAGTCCGCTGCAGTGAATGGAAAGGACCAGATGAGGAAAAAATTTGGATTTAGTAGATAATGTAAGCCGCAGCCAAAGGCTCTGCATATGTTCGAAGTCGGCTTTCACAAGCCACAGAAAGAGGAAGAAAACAAAAGAGCAAAAGTCGAAAGGAACGAAAAAAGCAAGAATAAGAGCGGCAAGTCACGTCCCCAAAACTATTGATGGAGAGAAAGCAAAGATATCCAAGCACAACTGATCAAACCAAAAGGAAAATGACATGTGTGGATAGTTAATGGTTGTTAAGATTCTTGATCAAAGCTTTGAAAATAAAAAAGGAATGAGAGATCACGCCAAGAAAAAAAAGAAAAAAAAAAAAAAAAAAAAAAAAAAAGTGTGTGATTCCAGATAGAGTTTGTTCCTCGCCAGTATTTCAGAACAAATCCACACTCCGCATAAAAAAAAAAAAGAACATTTGATAAACTGAATAGCTCATTTTCAAAGCAAATGATATTTCTTGAAAAGTAACCATGCAAACAAATAACACCAATAAATATTTAAGAGAGGAGCCATCATAAAACCGAAGGTCTTTTCATTCGGGTTACCCGAGTAAGACAAAAAGAACACTGGTCAACATTGTGAAAAAGAAGCAAAAACAATAACATATGTGTAAAGATTGCAAACAAAAAATAACAAGAACCCAGGCAAAAAAACTCAAAACATGTAGAAGAAGGATAAAAGCGATAAAAAAATGAGAAACATCATATAAATGCCCAATAACAGGATTGAACTGTTGACCTTCGCATTTGACTATTTATAACCGTCTTCAGTTATATTAGTACGACGCTCTAACCAGCTGAGCTAATCGGGCCTTTTGTGTACGCAGATTCTTCATGTGCTCTGCTGATTAGATCCAGAAAGGTTTTACTTCTATCTCCAGTCCATCAAAAAGAAAAGAAAAGAAGAATAAAAACCACAAAATACCAGACAAAAAAAAAAAAAAAAAAAAAAGAAGAAGAACAACCAGGAGAAGAATGAAAGATAAAAAACGTCAAAAATAACAAGAATAATACCCAATAACAGGATTGAACTGTTGACCTTCGCATTTACCAGATATAACATCAAACAGATGATCATATTAGTACAACGCTCTAACCAGCGGGGCTAATCGGGCAGTTGTACTCCGTTAATCTCAACGTTCTGACTCATTTCTGCGAGGATAGATATATAAATGGCCATACGTTTGTGGCTGCTTACCGAGGTGGCCCTCGTAACCGAGATTTGGTGGCCGGGCGACTCAGACCACCAGCCAATGGAAAAAGAACCACGGAACGGCCTCAACAGCCTTTTCATTTAAACGTGGCTCAGGATCACGATCTATAAATGGCCATAGAAGCATCAAGAAGGATAACCTCTCACACGATATATCAAAGATATAACCCGGATTTATCTTTGCTGGGGTAGAAAGCAAAATGAAATATTCATGACTGAACCTGGAACAAAAACAGTACAAAGCGTTGCAACTAGAATTTATTTCGTTTTGTATTTCTTCTAGCAAGGATATAGCATATCAAAATCATGTCACAGCATCCCCGGTTGATCTTTTAGTTCAACCCCAAATCCTTATAAAAAGCCTCAGTGCTCGGCTTGCGACCCAAGAACTCCTCCAAAGAAGCCATCTCATCGCGAGAACCACCCTTCTCGAGAACGCTGTGCCTGTACCTCCGACCCTGAACTGGATCCATCGGGTTGCTCTTGAAAACAGAGTAAAACATATCAGTCGAGTAAACCTGGGAGGACAAATAGCCGTAATAACCCGCATCATACCCTCCAATAAGATGACCAAAGGTGGCTTGACCATTACCCCATGTGCTGGGCTCGCCGAGAGCCTCGGGACCCTTAATCTGAGAAATTTCAGCTCTCAATTCGTTGTAAAGCTTGCTGACTTCGAGCTTCTCAAGCTCCTCGTGGCTCTTGGGCGTGTGGACAGTCATGTCAAACAGACCGAAATGCAACTGTCTGAGGTTGAACAGTGCGTCGTTGACGTGCTTGGTAGAAATCAGCTTCTCAATCAAGTCGTCAGGAATCTTGTCGCCGCTCTTGTAGTGGCTGCTGAGACTCTTGAGCTGCGCCGGCGTCCAGCACCAGTTCTCTAGCATTTGACTGGGGGCCTCAACAAAGTCTCTAACCGTCGAGGTTCCATGATAGCGGGCATACTGCGTGCGGCCAGCAAGATCGTGAATGCCGTGGCCAAGTTCGTGGAAGAGGGTGACCACCTCGTCGTGCTTGAGAAGGGAAGGCTTGGTAGGAGTGGGCTTGCTAAAGTTGCAAACCAATGCGGTGGCGGGGTAGCGTCTGGTGCCGTTCTTCTGAATGAAGCCGGGCTGAAGGTTGAAGTTGGCTGCATGGCCATACTTGCCCTGGCGGGGATGGAGATCCAGGTAGAGGTAGCCCACAAAGCCTTCGCCCTCGGAGGCGTCATCCCAGACGCTGAAGATGATGACATCCTCATGCCATGAGATATCCTCGGCCTTGCCGGTGGGAGAAATGCGCTTGCGGTCTTCGGGAGTCAACTCGACAAAGACGAGACCGAAGAGCTCCTCGAAAATCTTGAGCATGCCGGCAACGGTGGAGGTGAGAGGGAAGTACTCGGCAATGGTGTTCTCATCAATGCTGTACTCCTGCTCCACCATCATGCGGTCGTAGTACCGATGATCCCAGAGGTAGTAGTTACCGTCAAAGGGCAAACCGCGGGCCTCGTGGTCCTTCTTCTTGAGCGCAAGCAAATGTTCAATCTCCTTGACGCCGCCGGGGGCGAGACGAGTCTTGAGATCATTCAAGAAATCCATGACGGTCTTGACGGTCTTGGCCATCTTGTCCTCGATACGGAGAGAGGCATGGTCGGGGTAACCGAGAAGGCGAGCAGCCTCGTCGCGCAAAAGGATAGCCTCCTTAAAGAGCGGGACATTGTCGTTACACTGCATTGGAGTTAAACTTGGGGCTCACCATGTCCAAAAAGGGACCGGAACGTACCTTGTTCTCGTTCTCAATCAAGACCTTTTTCCGCGTCTCGGGGTTCTTGGCGAACTTGAGGGTAGGGAAGAGGTCAGGATACTTGAAGGAAAGACGAAGCTTGCCCTCGTTCTCGCCGGTGCCCTTGTCCAAGGTGTCAAGAACGTCTGTGGGAACACCATCGAGCTCCCCCTTGGTGAACCAAAGACCGCCGTTCTCCTCGTTCAAATTCTTTTGGAAAGAAATTTGAATCTGGGAGAGCCTCATCTTGATCTCCTTGAAGCGATCTCTCTTGGGGCCCTCGGGGAGACCAAGACCGTTCTTGATGTAGCTCTTGCGCTCCTTCTCAAGCAACCGAGCGCTCTCCACGTTCTCCAGGCCGGCAGACTCAACAACGGCCTGGTCAATCACCCGTTCGGGGTCCTTCTCCTTGCTGGCTGCAAGTCCAGTGTTGTTATAAACGGCATCCACGAGACGGAAGACGTCCTCGCGCATGGAGCATTCGATCCCGAACTCGTCCATGATCTTCTCGGCCTCGGTACTGGCATCGCGCAGGGCGCTGTCGGCGCTGACATACTGGTAGAAACCGAGGATGCGAGCGCTGAGGGAGCTTTCATTCTCGTCGTCGAGTTGGGGGCGAAGGACAGACTCGAAGGTGGCAGAGCCGGGGTTCTCGCTGGGTTTGATCTCGGCGACGAGCTTGTCGAGCAAGGAGCGTGTTCTGTCGGAGAGGGCCTTGGAGTCGGCGACGATGCTCTCCTTGGTGCCGGTGAAGAGAGGCGGGGCCTGAGGTGGGTTGGCGTACTTGGCCATGTTGACGGATGGCGGATGTGTAAAGGCAGAACCAAAGGAAGAATAGGAGACACTTGCAAGAGGTCGATGGGTGGTTGTGTTTATCAAGGTCCCAATTCCACCGGATGAAGCTCCCAGTGGTGCCTGGTGGGGTTGGGGATGCTTTAACTGCGAGAACAACGCAGAAATGCGGGGAGCAATGCGCGGGGTAGCCAGGATGACGGTGGCTAGGGAAAAGAGGGAGATGGAAAGAAGGAGCAGGAACACTGCCTGCCTGGGAGAGGTTATGGGCGCCAGGGTGACGAAAGGTCAGGCAACGAGGCGGGCATATGCAGGGAAGAAGGGATTGGATAGGAACGGGGGACTCGTGAGCAAACCTCCCGTTGATTCAGACCCAATTGCGGGGTTCCAATGTTGTCTGTTCGGTCTTTTGGTTCTTTGTGGACTCGAAAGTGCAATATTCCGTAATAATGAGCCGTCTGTGCCTGACAATTGGACGGGAAACAGCAGACACGAAGTGTTACAAAAAAGAAATGTTTGTCAAATCTGAAACAGAGAAACAATGTACAAGCACAAATTATTGGATGAAGATGGGGGTAATTCAACAAGATTGCATTAAGGTTTCGACAAAATCCCTTGATAAAGAGCGGAGGAGGGAGCTATCGAGATGCCGAACCAAAAAGATGCCACCCACTCTCGGATGTGCCAAGGCCCACCACCCACTTCCAAGCAACAGGGGGCATAATGCATCGAATGCTTGAGGTCTGTGCATTCAAGATGTAGAATTCCAATTCCCAAATGGCGTGGCAGGCAGTTTTAATGTCCGATCCAGTCGCCCTATGTAATTCCATACAGTTCAGATCGCACAAGACTCCAACGCCATTATTAATAAAAAAACAAATGCAAATGCCCTCACAATGAAAACACCCCCTAAAGCCGAGACTTTATCCCATCCATATAATCCGCCACCTCTACCGTACTCTAGTTGGCGAGAATGGTTCGGACGAGCTCCGTGTAGTTGACCTGACCATTGCTGGTGTCAACGGCCTTGAGAAGTTCGTCAACTTCCTCCTCGGTCATCTTTTCACCCAGGTTCGTCAAGATGTATTTGAGCTGACCGACGCCAATAAATCCGGTCATGTCTTTGTCGAATACTTGGAAACCGCGGCAATATTCGTCGGGCTCGCCAGGGTCGCGGAAACCGCCGGGTCTGTTGAGGATGCGCTGGAAGGTCTCGAAGTCGACTAAACACCCACCAATGTCAGCCAATATTTTAGAGAGGAAAGTGAAATGCGTAAATCCCAAACTCACAATCGCCGCCAACGTTCTTCTCGAGGTCCTGGATCTCAGCGAGGGTGGGGTTTTGGCCGCAGGCCCGAAGGAGGTCGCCCAAACTCTCGAGGGCAACACGGCCGTTGCCGCGCTTGTCGAAGAGGGAGAAAGCCTCCTTGTAGTTGGTAGAAGCCTGGGCGTTGTCAAAGTGGTTAGAAGCCATTCTATCTGCGTTTGTATTTTTTTTTCTGCAAATTGTATGTAGCAAAAGCAAAAGGTGATGCAATCCAATGCAGAAAACAGGGAAAATTGCGCAGATATGGTTTTTGCTAGAGAATTAGAAGTTGCGCCGGCTACCACCGCTGTACCACAGTGGTGCGCTAACAATTCGCCGTTGACAATGGCTGATTGGCCACTGCAGGTTGCTTTGTCGCGGCGGTTGACCTGGGCAACGCGGGGCAGTGGTTCCAAGGTTTTAGGGGAAGATTCTAGGTACTTACCATTTTTGGTAGGTATGTTATGTGTGGTATGCGATGCGCAACAAGAAAAAAAAGACAGGCTGATAGATGAGAAAATCAGAACGGCGAAGCTATTCAGAGGCGGAGGTTTAGATAAAAAGGCGGGTTTGAGAGATGGAGGTGTTGTTCGACTGGAGACCGCTTGTTGCAGCAGCGAGAGCTGAGGGTGGGCCCGAGTGGATCAGTGGAGGGCGTTAATGCGGGCTGATTGTTGATTGTTTCACCAGGCAACCACGTCGAACAAGGAACAAGCTTGGCGGTGAGGCAGCATTTGCCTCAGATAAAAAAGAATAAAACATAATTTATACCGTCCTTTTTGTCATCAATAAAGTTGTGCCCCAAACAACATCAACTTCAATATCCCTCCAATTATCACCCGCGCCTTTCCACTCCTGAACCGCCCCAACAGCCTGATCAAACATCCAATCCACCAAATCCCCTTTTCCTCCTGCCCGACTTTTTATTCCATCATATTCCTCCTTCCACCTTCCAAAAGCACTAAATGTTCTTACAAATCGTTCCAACTCACCCAACTTCATTTTCTTCCTCATCCACCCTCCGCTCTCTTCCCACCTCTGTC